GAGTTCACGAAGTGAATCGGCTTGTTTTACAGCGTCGTTGCCAAGCGACGAAAACCCAACCCCGATGGCAAACACCGGGGGGGAGGGGGGGAGGATAGAAAGGTTGATTGACATTCTGCTCCATACACCCGTCCACAACGGTACTGCTGTTCGGTCTGTGCTGGGAAGCCGGGAGAGGTAGAACAGTGGTTGGATGATGCTCTGCCATGCTCACTTGATATATACATATTACGCCTCGCAAGCGTTGGCGACGTCCTCACTCGTGGTGGATGCGGGGGCACTCCGTCCACTTCCCCAAGTGCGATTTCTTCGGTCATGATCATAACCACTTTTCTGCTGTATCATCCCCCACGACGTCCGAGGGTGTGTTGTCCCCCAGCTCCCTGATTATTTTCGTGCACTCAACCCTAGTCTTTCGTAAAACCCATGCCCCCCGTTAACCGCCACCCCTTTCTCCTCTCGGCCGCTGCGGTTGTGTGGGTCCACGGCAGGATGCGGATGCAGTCGGCGTGGCCCCCGAGAAGATGTGAGTTGTTCGTACACCTCCCTTTTTTTCGTTCGATTGTAAGCGAGGGACGGTCTTCGAGGATGTTGGATATTTTTACCTTGGTTCTAGCTGGGGTTTCGGGTTCGCGACGGACGGTCTTCGATGATACTGGACATTTCGGGTTGGGGTTGGGTGTTTGGGTTAGGGATACGAAACCCCCCCTTCCTTATTTCGCGCACCGTAGGTGTCACGAAATACCATACCCCTTGAACCGGTTTTCACAGCTCGATTTCTGCACAAACAGGACGCGCCGAAAACGGCGGCGTTGGAAGCTGTCTCGTCGAGAGCTTTCCGAAAGCGTATCGTTGGTTCATTTATGCATCCTCTTGGTCGTGGAGTACTCGAGATTTTGATCAATGGTCCAGGGGGTATGGTATCTTGTGTCACCTGCGGAGTACAGTATTCGGGGTTGGGCTGGGGTGTTAAGGTTAGGGTTGCGAACCCCCCACCCCTCTCTATTTCACACACACCAGCGGTTGCTTCTACTTCGCGAAGGCGATCTGGCATGGTGATGGTTGCCGGATTGGTGGTGTTGGGTGGCGGCGAACGGGCGGGGTCTCTGAGCTTTTGATGACACTCGCGAAAAACAGAAAGTCGTCACGCATCGACGTGCAGGACGTGCACCAGTACCCCAGAACCTCGGAGGTTTTTGTCTCTTCTGCTGTAAAGCTCGGGGTCTTGTTTCTTCTACGAGAGAAGCCCTCCATCCATTTGTCTAATATCGATTATTGCCGCGACATGCGATTTTTTCTCTCTTACATCCGCACGTGCTACTACACCGATTCAGAAGTTTCCGTACCCGGCATCTTGTGCCATCTTGTTGTTATTGGTGTGTGCTAAATGGCCATTTCTCTCAACGTGCCCGATGCCGAACAGCTCGGAGGCGTGCGTGGACCCGACACCGACGCTCGAGGCCCTCGAGCTGGCCAAGGCCACCGTTCAGGGCGAGCTCGACGACTGCGAGGCCAAGCGACTCGGGCTTGACCGCCTCATGAAAGGACTGGAGGTGTGTGTTGTTTTTGGTTGTTGTTTGGTGCTGTTGTTGTTCTTGTTCTTATTCTTCTCATTGACAACCGTTCCGGTCTCCGCCAAGTGCCACCCAATATCCGTGTTTGTCCAACTGACGCAGATGCCTTCCGTTGTCACAGGCCAACTAACGGAGTACTGGTACATTTTGCGGTGATGTTCATGTGTTTCTTTAGTTTTCCCTTCGACACTCGTGCATGTACGTGGAGTATTACCTTGAATTTTGCTCTCGACTAAAAGGTGTTACGGTTTGGATTTCGTGCCCGATGCGTATGTTCTTCGGCACTTCCGACCGCGCTTAGGATGGCAAACTATGCCAAGTGTGCATATGCTCCAAACCTGTGCCATGTTCTGGACGTGTACCGTTCTTTTCCGGAGACGCTGTGTAGTTGTGTATTTTGGCTTTGTCTTTCTCACCTTCTCGCCCCGTGTCCTCTCTCTCGCACGCACACACTTGCAATGTCAGTGGGCCCCGCGGATGGGGCGGCGTTCTCGTGTCTTGGTCTTGTTCGGGTCCCTCTTGAACCGACGTGTCGTTGACGAGCTACGTGATAAGTCTTTCGCTTTCGATACTTGATTTGTAGAGCAGCCCAACCACACAACCAAACTCCAACCTTCCCCAACCTTGCGACAGGCCACGGTCGAGAAGCAGTCCCAGGTGCTAGACGCGGCCGGCGGAGAGAAGGGCATCCGGGAGCTAAGGGAAGCGGCCTCCGCGGCGGGAGACGCAACCACCCTCCTGCAGCAGGCGCGGGCGGAGGCGGCAGCGGCCAGGGAGGATGCGGAGGCGGCTAGGGGGGAGGTCGAGGCTGCGAAGCATGAGGCTGAGGCGGCGAAGGAAGACGGGGCGAACGCCGGCAGCGAGGCGGCCGCCGCTAGGGAAAGGGCGGCGCAGATGGCGGCAGAGAAGGTGTGCGTGAGATTTTGTTGTTGTTTTGTGTCTTGTTTTTTTTTTTTTCTCTTCTTGCACACAGAGTAGTATTTTCTGTTGTCTACCTTGCGCACAGTAGTCTATGTTCTCTCCCTTGAACACACAGCAGTACTGTCTGTTCTCTGCCTTGCACACATACACATGTTTGTGTCTTGGTTTTGTTGTTCTCCCCTGCACACACGCACACCCGAGGGAGTTGATGAAATCTGGGAGCTTTCCCTTATGTTCTTCGCTCAATGCTTATGCGTGGGAGGACCTCAGTGCATCGGCGTGGTTCAAGCTTCACCCCTCGTTGGGACTAAGTCTTGTTTGGGGGCAAAAACATGTCTCCGCCCTGTTCACACATTCTCGCCGCCCTCCTTTGAGAAAGTTCTTATTACTAGAAAGATGGTTGTGTAAACAGTTGAAGGGCGTTCAGACTATAACCGTCTGTTGCTTTCTGGGGTAACGCGGATATGATATAATTTCCATCCGATAACGGCTCTAATTAGCGGTGTCATTGGCGCGTGATATCTTGAGGGTGAAAAGCCGCTGTGTTGCGAACGATCTCGCCGGTGCTTTCACCGTTCGGCGTTGTCTTATGGTTCGAGTACACACGCACCACTTTTTATCCCCGTGCATGATGTGCATCGCGAAGCCGGGGGCGGTGGAGAGCACCTGACATCTTCCGTTGCTAGTAGTAGACTCAACCACTGCAGCCGCCTGTGGGTGGAGGTGGCTTCGCAGAAGCAGAACCGAAATGAGGGGAAAAGAGGTGGTGCTTCTTTTTTGTTGGTAACGGAAGTTGACGTCGCTACTGGCATGAGTCCGGAGACTGGGATGGGGGCCAGTCGCTGCTTGGCTAAGGAGGGCATGGAAGGCGTGCCATATTCAGGGCGACTCCTGTTGTGTCCTCCTCCGCTTCAAGCACTCTCGCACACACCTCAATTTTTGTAAATATGCATACGTACAGTCCCTGAAGTGATGGCCTGTCCGAGTGATGCACCTGTTGTTCTCTGTCTCAGCCTGCGTGACCCCCCCTCTCTCTTCTTGGCTTCCAAGTGGTGTGTCTCCCTTTTTGCCGTGCTGACGCGATCTCTCTCATCTCTCTCTCTCTCAAAACCCAACAAATTTCCAGGAAGCTTTGCAGAGCAAGCTCGACGCCGCGGACAAGGAGCTGGAGACTCTGAGGAAAAACCTTACCAGGGCGGAAGCTAAGGAGTCGAAGGCGAGAGAGGAGCACGACAGACACGCGCAAGAGATGCGGGGGAAGCTTGAGAGGACGGCCTCGGAGGTGCGGCGTGGCTGCCGATTTTTTTTAGTGGCTGTGGGCGGGTGTTGGTGTGGGCGGTCATTGTCTTTCAGAGAGTGTATCGGTATCCCTCGTGTATTTCAGTGTTGTTGTTGCCTTCACGTCAAAATGATTCCGGTCTCAACTATCCCACGTACAGGTGTAACTAGGACTCAACATAGGCCCAGTATCCAGCTGTTTTTCTCCCTCTCGCTGAAAAGACTTGATCACTAAATTACCCGTTCGAGATGTGACCACAGCCGAAGGGGGGGGGGGGGGG